TTTTTTTTTTTTACATCTGAATGTTCGAGTTTTTATATAAAATCAATTTTGAAGTTCCCCATCTTTCTTTTTCCCGCTTCCCCTCCAGTTCTCCACCCATCACATCTTTGCTTTGGCCACGCTGTGGGTGGAGCCGACTCCAGAGGACGATTCTGGACTGTAAGTTAATTACAAACTCTCAATACTTTTTTATACATTTTATTCAGATTCCAGATGTCTCTTTTAATTTTTAAATTTTTTTTTTTTATGGTGTTAGTTTGTTAAGGTCAACAAAAGTTTCACTCATTTAACCCTATGGATGCTGGATCAGTCCCCAATTTATACTTTTCTCCTGCTTTTGAGCTTTTTTTAAAATTTAAGTAAGATAAAGTGGCACTAATTTCATTTAAAACTAGTTTATTGGTTTAAAATGTATTCATTTAAAAATGAGCTTAAACTATGTCATGTTTGTGTGTAGACATGGCTTGAAGGTGGTGACGCCTGAGGAGACTTTAACGCTTATGGCCTCATCTTCTGCTGAGAAGGTGACTCTTAATAACAAACCAACACACTGTTTGTTTCCTTTTCTTTTTTTTTTTTTATTTACCAAACCTCCAATCTTCTCATTTTAAGACTAAGTGGCTCCGTGCCATCAACCAGGCGGTGGATCAGGCTCTGAACGGAGCGGCACAGGACGCCGGCAGCCCTGGGTCGAAGGCGGAGCCTCCGATCTCCAGGACGGCTTCCTACACCTTCTATAAAGACGGGCGGTTGAAGGACGCCACGTACGAGGGCCGTTGGCTGGCTGGGAAGCCTCACGGCAGGTCGGTCACCCTTTGGGCTTAAGGAAACAAAGCAAAGTCTGATTTCTTTAATTTGCTGCTTTTGTTTTCAGAGGTATTTTAAAATGGCCTGATGGGAGGATTTACACGGGATCTTTTAAGAACGGGCTGGAGGATGGGTGAGCAAAGCATCAAATCAGCTCTTAATGCATTGGGGGGGGGGGGTTTGTCGTCCTCTCACTCAACTTGTATTTATTTTTCAATGTCTGTGTGCAGCTTTGGGGAGTTTATTTGCCCCAATAAGGCTCTGAACAAAGATGATTTCTATCAAGGTTATTGGAAAGAGGGGAAAATGCATGGCCTCGGGACATACCGGTAGGTCGCACTAAAACTAAAATGTTTTCTGTTACAGGAGAACTGTAAATACAGATACAGTTTTTTTTTTTTATTATTATTACTTCCACCATACTTATCTTCGTTCTGGTCCACATGGGGGCAGCAGATCTCCGATTTACAAATACAGATTTCCAAGATTTTGGATTCTTTTTTCTAATGT